TGCTCCCGGGACCTTGGTCTCCAGTGCCTCCTTCCCAGGAACGAGAAATTGCAGCAGGACTTGGTTTTCTTTCCAACCCGCCACTGGAACCTGCAAACTCTGGGGCTGCACACGGAGGCCCCATGTCCCAGCCTTGCCACAGCTGTCTGGCTCCCCCTTCTAGGCGTCTGCTTCCTCGTGGCATTTGCTTCCTCGTGACATGCCAAAGACTGGCCGCAGAGCTGAGCCCCCCATGTTTTTGTTGTTTGGTTTTTTGTTTGTCGTGGGGGACAGATGCAGAAGAGGATGAAAAGAGGCAAAAAATCTCCTCTGAGCAGGTACCATTTATGGCAGGTGGATCTGGGATCCACGGGCGGTTTGGCTGCAGGAGGGTTGTTTTCCCCCGTTGCCCTCCTGGCAGCATCTGTGTTTTACCTTCTCCCACCCCGTGGAACTGGAGCTGTGCATCTTGATGAATTGATGTTTAAAAAAAAATAATAATAATAATGTGATAAAATGCTCCCTTGGTGTCTGGAATGGGAAATAAGCAATTAAATGAGGCCTTTTGTAATAACGACGAGGGGCTTGTTTCTTCTGCAGGAGAGCCGGGGCAGAGGAGAGGGCTCTGCGGGGACGGGAGGAATCGTGTGTGAGCCCAGCTGGAGGGACGGGGATCTTCTCACCCACCCGGCACGCTGTCATGCCAGCCCTGGCTGCGTTGTGCTGCGTTAGGTTGGCACGAGCACGTGCCCAGACTTGGGCAGAATGAAGTGGATGTGGCCAAGGAGGAGATGGGAGCGCTAAAGCCGGGTGATGGTGCGGGGTGCTGGGGGAGCAGCTGTAGTGTTGCAGCGTTGGAGCGGGAGGTGCTGGGCATCACCGTGAGCCTGCGGTAACGGGCTGGGGGGGTCCGGAGGCAGCTCGGAGCGGGTTCCCCGTTAACACCTAGAGCACACCAGCTCTCTCCCAGGGTTGCAGGGCTCTGTCTGGGTTACCCCTATCCCTGGAGGAGGATGTGGGGGCCCCAGGATTACATCCACCTCCTTTTTTGCTGCACATGTGGGAGACCTGCTCGTGGGTTTAAAGGAGAGGCCCCCACCAAGCCCCAGAACCTGGTGTTGCCTCCCCAACCCACCGCAGGGAAATGGCAGAGATGTCTCCCATTTGCCTTACCCAGCTTGTTGCTGTGAGCAGCAGCAAGTTCAAGAGCAGGAAAGGGTCAAACACCCAAGCGAGGAAGGGAGCCCAGACATTCACAGAGGCGCTCTGAGCTCCTGTTCGGTAACAGGAGCCCTGTCCGACTGGCATCAGCGACCTGCTGGTGCCCACGGAGCACGCCTCTTGCAGGGGAGACCCTCTTGCTCCCGTACAGAGCCCCCAAAGGTGGCATCAAGCCAACACTGCGTCTGACAAAGCCCACGTGCAGAAGTGCAACAGCAGGAAAATGTATTTGGCAAACACCTCTTTTCACAAACAGCAGCAACTTGGAAGACAAAGTCCCCTCCTCGTCACCAGCCCCGGAGAGAGGGAGTCACGACACCCTCGCCGCCGTCCGCCACCCTGCGGTGAAGGCACGGTCCTCACCCCTCCCGGCCCCGGCAGGAACCACCGTGCTGGCCCGTGCTCCGAGCTGGCCCCGGAGAGACCTTCTCCTGCCGCCGGCCGCCCTCATCTCATGGCAAAGGTGTAGACGTGGTAGATCTCATCGGGGAAGTTCTCCTGGCGCTCCTCGGCCAGGAGGTGCAGCCCAGCTCGGCGGATGATCTTACGGACCACGTCCAGGTCCCGGCAGACGCTGCTGTCCACATCGTCCATGATCACGCCCTCCTGAGCCATGTTGTCCTTGATGACCACGATGCCGTTGGGCCGCAGGCCGGCACGGCACCGCTTCAGGAAGTCAGAGAGGTGGTTGTCGGTGAGGTGTCCTGGAGGGGCAGAGCGGGTGTTAGAGGGCACGGGGTGACTGCGGCAGGACCGCCAGGCAGCATGTGATACGAGGGGAGGAGACCAGGACACTGCGGTCGGGATCCCTCCTGATCCAGGCAGCCAAATACTTGAGCCATTTGCAGGTGAAAGCTTTAGCTTGGGGGTGTCCAACTTGTGTCCCACGGGCTCTATCCAACTCCATCCAACCCACACCTCTGCCCTGACCTCCAACGGCCTGGGGGAAAAGACCCCACAGTGCAATTGCCCTTGTAGTGCCCACGGAGGGCAGGTCCCCAACCCAGCCTCCCACCCATGCTGTGATGCTCATCCTTAACGCAGACCTCAAGCTCTCCTGCCCAAAGCTCTCCCCAGTGCGTGGGGCACCTGCCCCTCGGGGGAAGCTGGACGGAAGACAGGCTGGTGAGACCCCCGCAAGCCGAGTGACCCTCACCGATGACCCACTGGATCCAGATGACATCGTAGGAGTTTGGCTCGGGGCTGAAGTCCTGGAGGCCGCAGCAGAAGTAGTTGCGCACCCGCCTGCCCTCCTCTCCCAGGTAGCTCTTGGCCTTGGTGAGGAAGTCCTCCGTCACGTCCACCATGTCCACTGTCTTGAAGAGGGGCAGCAGCAGCCGCTTGGTGATCCGGCCGATGCCCGCCCCGCAGTCCAGAGCACGGGTTGTCCCCGTCCGGTTGGGGCCATCCTGGAACAACAACCATGAGGGGCTGAATCCCACCACGAGATACCCACAGAGGAGAAACGGGGCAACCGCGTGGGACGGGGCTGGGGTATGGGGGACCCATTGCAGGGCAAAGCTCTCCCAGCACGCACGCAACAGAGGATCCCACGGAGCAACTCACAGGGAAGAGCCCAGCTCCGTGCTGGGAGAAGGATGGGACTTTGGGAGCATGACAGACCGTGCCACCTACCCGCAGAAACCTCTGCAGGAACTTCCTGGAGCTGTTGATGTCGATGCTGGAGATGTGGCCGTAGCCCCCCAGCATGCCGTCCACCGTGGCGGGCACATCCTTCCAGTACTTCTCTGCCTTGGAGTAAAACTCAAACTCGTTCTCCACCACCTCGCTCGTCATGCTGGCCGAGGGGCACGGGCCCGCGCAGGACTCGCTGCTCCTCCGAGACAGGGGAGAAACCGCCAGTCAGGTCCGAAAGAGCCACAGGCGTAAAGGCCCCCCTGAACTGCAGGGCGCCAGCTCTGTGAGTACCCCAGGTTCTGTTTTATCACCCTTTCCCTCTCTCCAGAGCTATTATTTCAAACCCTGAAAACCTTCAGCTGAGAGCAACAAGGAACAAAGATCTAAATCCTGGTATTTTCTGGAGACCAACAAGCCCCAAACCCTTTCCTGGGCAGGGATGCTTCAGCCAGACCAGGCATCCCGGAGCCTTGCTCAGCAATACATCCAATTATATATATATATTTTTTTAAGGCTGACCCACCCTTTTCACCTGCTCTGCCGCCTCTTTTCCTGTCTTAACGTTTTACAGATTACATGTTTATCTCTGGCGACAGACCCATCATTCACCTCCAATTACATCTGGAGTTGCTAAAAGTTATCCTAAGCACCTACCTGAGGATTGTAAATCTCAGCCGTGACCATAAGTTAGATATTTGCAATATAATAAAGTCAAGGCATAATCAGCAATACAAGCTATAAATCCCCCCCAGACATCTCATAATTCAAACCACTGTGGATTTGATTAACTGCGCTGGGGATTAGAAACTAGATTTAAGGTGGCCAAAGGGTAAATTCAAGGACTTCAAACACCTTTACAAATAAAGAAATATATAGTATTCATGGCTTGAATTTGCTGGCAAATATCCCATTAGACACAAAACCTTTTCTATGGCAGCTTAGGCGGTTTTGGTGGCCCCGCATGGTCTTGAACAGCCTGGGGACAGAGCAGGGGGACACAGCATCTCACCTTACAGATCACTGGTTGAAATCCAGTTTGGCTCGGTGGGGCCGGGAGCCAGTCTGCGCGGTGATCTAGAGGAAGAAAAGATGGGATTTTAGTCCCAAATCACCCCTTTAGTCCCGCAAGCGTGAGTGAGGCCGACCGCAGCCCCAGGGAGCCAGAGGTAAGAGCCGTCCCGACCCCATGGGCACCCTCCTGGGGCAGTTGGGGGGCAGGAGCTGGTGCTCCCCGTAGCTCGGAGGCGTCAGGAAGCTGAGCCACGGGTGCAGCCAGTGCGTGGAGGAGGGTTTTGGCCCCACTTCAGGCAGCACTACTGTCTGATCTCATGGGTTGGGACCCCGGTTCGCCTTCCCGGCAGTGTCACCCCTTCCGTGGCCCCGAGTTCAAATGGGCGACTCTATGGTGGTGTTTTTCAGGGTGTCGCGGGCCACCGGCACAGGTCAAGAGCACCCAGCGGGATGACCCTGTGAGACAACTCTACCCGCCAGCGTGGACCCCGGTGCTGGCGCCTCCCCTTCCCACCGCCCTGAGAGCCCCCGAAACGTGGCAGCTCCCCAGCTGACATGCGGGCAGGTGAAGGCAGGTACTCGCCCCACAGACCTG